CAAATAACGCCATGGAATTCGAACTTGTTCCTCAAAACAAAATGAAGCTGAACAAAGGCAAAAGCTTTTGTCCTTCGTTAACTGCTTCAAAAAATTCTCTTCCAATCCCTTTCAAAAATCTTTAATAATTTCCGAAAAAAAACTCGAATTTTACATCGCATTATCATATTATAAGCAGTTCCAGATGGATGGGGTGAACCGAATCTTCACTTCCGTTCGATTCTTTCTTGGAATGAATCTGAAGATTCATAAACCAACTGCTGCATCGCTCAAAGGAAGTGGATTGCTCATACTGAAACAACAGCTAACTCCGAATTTTGATGATTAACGTCAAAATTCTTCGTGGAATTTTCAATTTGAGGTGATATTAGCTGATATTAGATTTCAATGCAAGTTGATATTAGATTTTTGTTTTGATATTAAACTATATAAAAGCGCCAGCTTCTGCAGAATAGTCAAAGCAGTCGGCTTTCTTCCATTTGTCCAATCATATTCCACAGCAACAGTTCCAGATGGATGGGGTGAACCGAATCTTCACTTCCGTTCGATTCTTTCTTGGAATGAATCTGAAGATTCATAAACCAACTGCTGCATCGCTCAAAGGAAGTGGATTGCTCATACTGAAACAACAGCTAACTCCGAATTTTGATGATTAACGTCAAAATTCTTCGTGGAATTTTCAATTTGAGGTGATATTAGCTGATATTAGATTTCAATGCAAGTTGATATTAGATTTTTGTTTTGATATTAAACTATATAAAAGCGCCAGCTTCTGCAGAACAGTCAAAGCAGTCGGCTTTCTTCCATTTGTCCAATCATATTCCACAGCAAGCTTTTGTAACAAATCTTTTACAGCATGTTACGCTTCCTGTTTCTGCTGACAGCTCTGTTCTCGGTGAGCTGTAGCTACAACGTACAACGACCTCTTCCATCCTACCAAACTGCCCAGCCCCCTGCATATCCAGTTGTAAGTAATTTTAAGCCACAGGTTCCACTTGCTCCCAGTTATATTGTGAAACTTCACAACTCTACGAATCCTCCCAACTATTTATTGCCTAACAAAAACCGTTCAGATCTACTACTACCCATATTCATGGTGGGGCGACGGATGGGGGAGCTACAGTGGGAATCAAGGGGATTACAATAATGATTACGACGGCGGTAGGGCGGCTTTCGTTTCAGCTTACGTTTAGCTTAAAGCTTCTCTAAGGTGAAAACATTCGAGTTCAGATCAAACTCCTCCCTGCCCTCGCTTGACCTCATCATGCCAAAACATCAATTTCACCACTACGCAGTGCTTTCCGGCAACGATTAGGTGAGTAGTGGCACATCAATTTTGATTTTTGACATTCTTGCGACGCTTCGCAGGCAGCACTTACAATATTGCGAGACGAATAGTCCGGACATGAGGTCTTCAAGGAGCTCTCCGTTCCGCGCGTCCATCGGAACCAGGTCATGCCGCCGCACGCGACGCATCAGCCCGCGAATCTCGCAGTTGCCAGTGAAGCATACGATTTGCGCTTGGTCTACGGCAAGCACCTCAAAGATCCTTCAACTATCCGCCGTTCCTGGAAGTTTGTGTTGATATTTTTATTGAAAATTCATTTTTTATAGACAATTCAAAGACAATGGTCAACAACGCGCAATCATTCAATGCCCGTCGAACAACAAGGATTATACCATTGTCACAATGACAAATCAGACTCTCAGCGTTGGCGTCGGTAATTCGAAAGTCGCAAGCTGCAGAAATGGAAGGTAATTGGCTTCCTTGTATAGAAGCACTGAATTGCTACAAAGGACTCTTTCCAGATGGCAAGCGCAGAACCTTAACGGCTTTTCCGTGACGGTTAATAGTGTTCGCTGCGTGGCTCCTGTTGCAACTACAACTACAGCTGGGACAACTACTACGACTCCAACAACCACAACTCCTACCACGACACCTACCACTACGCCAACTACCACGACTCCCACAACCACAACTCCGACAACCACAACTCCCACCACAACACCTACCACAACTCCTACAACACCATCTACAGCTGCGTCAACTGGGGCGGCTGATTAACCTAGGATGTAAGTAACCTTACATCGAAACAAGTAGTCTTCCCTCAATAAAGACGTGCATTTCTGATTTTGTTGAAGCTATGATTACTATATTTGGAAGTCACATTCTGACACATCCAGAGAAGGCAGTCGAAAATCGAAACATTTTTTATCGCTACACTAATGGATATATTTGCTAGCAATAATCATCCCGATCGGTCCCGTTTTTGGGGGTGCGCTCCCTTATATGACATCCACTGAGGATCCTGGTGGCGAATGAAAGGCTATGTGACATATACATATGATGAATTGCGGTAACTACGATGTATCAGTTAGTGCTTCTGCCTTCCCAAACAGGTAGCTACCATATATTGACACCAGGGCATGTAAAGCTTAAGTGGCCAGGGTGGATATCGATTCGGAGTTTGATCGCCGGTCATGCATGTGTAGTGTGCCACTCGCCACTGTACAACCTCTGCCCTCCATCTCCGTTTTCTTAAAAATAAAACTGGTAGGACAGCAGGCCGAGAATTTTCACTTTAGAAGTACGGTTTCAGCCGGTCAATTAAACTGGTGCTCGAGCAGTCTTGAGGACGGATGTTGTAAAGGACATGAAGACTGGAGACAGTAGGCTAATCTATTGGTAAATGCCGGTATCGCTCCTTCTACTTTCTAGTGCAGCAACAAAACTGAAATCGTCCCTTTGGATAACCTGAACTGAAAATAAACAACTCATTCTAAATGGTCAAAAAACACCTTAGACTGAATGAAATCAAAAATTTCAAAAATTGCCACCCACCTGGATCAGTTCGGAAATTGAATTCCCGCCATTTCCGCCACTGCCAGCATGCATTTCCCGGGGTAACGGAACTTCTCCCCTATCGCGGCATTCTCCCTTGCGGCATGCGGCAAATGTCACTGCAATTACCGTACTCCCGCCAATCGATAGGACGCGGAATTTTTCGTTGATTGCCTTGCTTTTTTATTTGATTTAATCGTTTTTTCTTCTGTTTCTTTTTCGTTTTCGTGTTTATTAGACTTGATTAATTAGAATGACCCCTCCTACATAAACGACGATCAAGACCGCATTGGAATTGAAAAGAGCGGCCAGCCAATTCAAATAATTAAAGGACTCCCTACCTCACAAATTGCGCGCTCCAATCTTCCATCGCAATTCCGCGATAGGCGGCGGGTGCGGAGTCTGGGACGCCGTGTTAGGGGAGAAGTTCCCGGACCCCATTTCCCGCAGCAGTCTCGTTGGTCAGATCTGTTCTCCATACCATCCTTAACGAAATTCAGTTTTCCAAGAATTGAACTGGTAGAAGTTTAGAACTTGGTAATTTTTGTGTACATCAGTGATGGTAATTCAAAAAAAAGGCTCATAATTACTGAAAATGTGAAGCCGTCAAACAGTATTCTTCCGATTTCTGATGCATTGATACAGGGCAGTATCCCAAGCCTATGAGGGATCAACTTAGAACAAATCTTGAGAAGCTGTCCTACACTGAACGCTGTGATGACAAGGCGGATTTAACACAGTTGCAAAAATGGCAAAGATACAGTATGCTCCTAAATCAAACACCTGGATGCTGCTCGGCCTTCATGGCTGCTCATGGCGCTCGTTACACTGCTTACGCTCATGAAGGCTGCATGGCGTACTCTTTACTCTGGAGCGCGCCATGCTCATCCTATGGCGAACGGACACGTCGCCTCACGTGCTACGCCCCATATGCCCCTAGCTCGTTTGCTCCGATCCTACACCTCTCTATTCGAATAACTGCGGACCACCGATGAGCCTTAGCCCTTGCTGGTAACTCGATGAAAAAAAAAGGGGGGAGGGGGAAAGGTAAGGGAGGGGATAAGGAGTCACACGGCTTCCGTCACTGAACACAAATCACACCACAATTGAACCTTCCTATCGAAGATGCAGAATCCCTTCAAAGAAATCCCACGGAATTCATTCAAAGAGTCCAAGTTGACTACTGAACAGGGAAAACAACAATGAAAAGCCATTAGATAACAGAAGTTCGATTAAAAAAAAACAGGGTATTTTCTTTTCCTGAGCAATCAAACGCGTACTTGCTTGTGAACTACCTTCTAAATTTCCTTGCTAATTTGTTGAAAACCACTCGTTCTTTGCAAGGAAGCTT